GGGCTTGTAAACATATGATTTTTTTAAGCATTATGATTATATATTATGTTTATTTTGAATTGATTCTAGTATTTTAGCACAGTGTCTCGAACACAAAATGTAGACATTCATTATCTAGTCCTTCAGGATTAGGTAAGGGATATTACATTTTTTGTAATTGACATTACTGCTAGCTATATAAACAAAACTACACTCTACTAACTTTCTGTCTTATATCTTCTTATTATTTTTTCAGCTCAGCCTTCTTTCATATCTCTTCATCTTTTTCTCTCGTGCATAGACAACTTTTCTAATCTTCTTCCAACTTTAGCTTTCAACTTGTAAGTAAATTTTTTTTTTTGTTCTTTGTAATTTCTTTCTATATATATACATTATGATGGTGCTTTTTGCATGTTAAAACATGAATATCTTCTTCTTCTTCATCATCTTTTTACATTTCAGAAAACTTGAACTTTTAAATGTTCAGTTGCTGATTTCTTAGTTATTATATCAATATTGTCTTCATCTTACTCCTTTATTTCATTCGTAGTCTCAAATCATCGTCGTCTCTAGCACTCTCGTTTCTATAACTAACAATCCTCATCGAAGCTGTTCTCTCAACTCTCCTAAGTAATATAAGCAAAGTAGAGAAATATGTAAACACATTATATTCGTGTTAGTTGTTTTCTATTTCCCCTTTTTCTATTACCTTTTCTCAAAATAAACACAAATGCTAATTCTTGAAAATGCATCAATAATATTTACTTTACTTTTTTACAAAATATATGCAAATTCTTATGCATTTAGCCTTAATTTGTGAAGTTTAACTCCACATTTGACTCATCTTTCGATTATTATATTTTTTATTTCTGTCTCAATATTATTTATTTAACTCAAATCTCTCTCCATTCATCATATACAAAAGAGGAAACTTTTTCTTCTCTGGAGAGTTTTAAAGAAGAAAACTATATTAAAAATAAAAAGAATATTAGTTAACATCCCTGTAAAAAGAGGAACAAGATCTTAAACAACTACCTACTTTCTTCTAGCTCCAATTATTTGTCCTTTTTTTTTAGAAATATAATTGATTAATAATAATAACAAATATTGTAAATACTCGTGTAACTCAGACATACAAATTTACTATCAGTAGCAAATAGAGTTGTCACGCTCGACTCCAACCACTAGAGGAATTGTTCGCTTTGGATCAAGCCAATTCCAATTTCATCCCATACTGGATTGGCAAGACTTGCACGGTTTTGTCCCGTAAGTGAAATGGAGAGCTTTCCAGGAGGTCACGCATCCTAAGATTTTCGTTAAGCGAGCACGCTTAACTTTGGAGTTCTTCTAACTCTACAAGCCACTCCACCAAAAGACGCATTTGATGATTAGTTTCTCCCTTTTTGATATATGATCTGATTCATTCTTGTGTCCCGCATTCCACTATCCATAGCTAGTCTACCATCTTAGAAGCTAGCCAAGAGCTTTGCTCTATCCGCCCTCTTAAGAATTGCTTTGTCGGGTCGGGATGTCACAAGCCCACTAGCATCTGTGTGGTTCGTCCTTGAACTATACATCTATTGGAGTGGGTCCGACTCTAATACCAATTGTCACGCCTAACTCCAACCACCAGAGGAATTGTCCGTTTTGGATCAAGTCAATTCCATCTATACTGGATTGGCAAGACCCGCACGGTTTTGTACCGTAGGTGAAATGAGAAACTTTTTAGGAGGTCACCCATCTTAAGATTTTTGTTAAGTGAGCACGCTTAACCTTGAAGTTCTTCCAACTCTCTAAGCTATTTCACCAAAAGGCGCCTCTAATGATTAATTTTGCCCTTTTCGATATATGATCCGATTCAATCATGTGTCCCGCATTCCCTACTCATAGCTAGACTACCATCCTAGAAGCTAGCCAGGAGCTTTACTCTATCCGCCCTCTTAGGATCGCTTTGCCAGGTCGAGATGTCACAAGAGTTCATTGATCTTTTAACAAATCATACATTTTTATATTCTTTTAAATAATAAAAATTGAGATTAAAAGAGATAAATATTAGATCTTTTCACTTGGAAATAATCTTGACAAAAGATATAAATTTTCATAGTAGCAACTAATTCTTTAATTGATTTGGATGATAAAATAATAACTTCTCTAAATCTTCTATATTTGGATTGCTTTTTTAACTTACAGCATATGATGTATAAAAATGATTTTCGGCCATTATACGTCCATAGTATCAATGGAGGAACAAGCCACAGTATCAGGCTCTATTGATCGAAGATTCATATTTGCAAATCAAGGTCTAAAGTCTCCAGCTAAATAAAATCAAGCATCATAGCTTTATTTAATAATAAACTCTCACAAAGAAGAGATTAAAAAACTCTAAACATAAAGACAAAATAACAATAACAAAAACAAAGAAAAACTTATTTATTATAGAAAAAATCAATCTAAGTTTATTAAGAGTAAAGATTACAAGTGAAGAAAGAGTATAAGGTAAGGGTTACCGCTGATCAAAAACAACTCTGAAACTAAAATCGGGGTTAGACAGCTCCAATTATTTATTTGTTTGGTAGAATTCGAGGGTTTTATCCTTGTTCCACGAATATAAATGGGATAGAGGCAGCGTAACATGGAGAAAGACATAGTGGATAGCTTTTTTGACTTTTTATAAATTTTTTTGGTAAAAGGGAGAGCAAAGCTCAAGAAAATACAAGGATTAATGAAGGTGAGCTACACTACACACGTGATGGGTGAGCAAAGAAATAATTCATAGAGGAGGATCTAACAATAAATAAGTTCCAAAGGGAAAATTAGCAAACTTAGATAGAAAATCAGCATTTTCATTAGCTTCTTTATACACATGAGAAATGCTACATATCCAATTATGGTGCAAGATATTTTTGATAGCAAGTACCAATTGAGAGACACTGTCATGAGAAGCCACAGATCCACTAATAAGTTGAACCACTATAGTATTATCACATTCAATCATTGACTAACTCCAAATTGCTTAACCATCTTTAATCCTTCGAGAACAGCCCAAAGCTCTGCTTCTAGTAATGCAGGTACCATTTTTAGTGACTAAATCTTGGATCCATCTCCCTGAAAAATCTCAAAGTTTCCCACCACCATAAGCCAACCTATCCACAAGAGAGCTGTCTGAATTAAGCTTGAGAAAATATAGACTAGGTGGAGACCAAGAAACCAAATATTACTCTTTTGAGCTGTTATCATATTAGGATTAAGAGCCAATATATTAGATATGTAAAATTCCTTCGCTAAGGAAATGATATCATGTACCACCACAACAACCGAAGAGAGCTCTTCCTTAAAAATCCACAGATTCCTTCTCTTCCATAAATTTCAGCATGCTACACCGAAAATAATAACCTAAAGACTATCAGAATTTATTCTGCAAGTTATTAAGTAGCCAAACATTCAAAGAAACCGTAGGATTTAAGAAATTACACAAGTTGGGAGCTCAAAGCAAATTTCGCACTTGGTTAACATAGACAGTCTCTAAGGACGCGTGTAGTAGTTTCATGTATTCCTATGGTAGCGTGCAATAAGGATTCATTTTCAAATGTCTTCTGCACCTCTCAAATTTAGTAAGAAGGCTATTATGAATAAGTAACCAAAGAAAAAGACTTATTATCTGAGGACCTCTTCTAGTGCAAAAAAAAAAAAAAAAAAAAAAAAAGCAATAAAAAAAAAAAAAAAAAAAAAAAAAAAAACCCAATCTCCATTATTTTACACACAGTTGTGACACTAGCATAACACATTTGGCATAAGCAGATTTTCACAAAAAGTTTTTCATGAAACTCGTAAATTCTCTAAAAATATTTATCCGGAGCACATTCCATAGAAGGAGGAAAGAATTGTCAACTTATGCCAATAAATTAAGGATCGAGCTTGAAGGAATTTAGAGAATTTATTCCCAATTCAAAGACTTTTTTATAAATTTTAATTAATTGAACTTATCACCGGACTAAAGGAACATGGCTAAAAATAATAAAAAAAAAAAAAAAAAAAAAAAAAACCCAATCTCCATTATTTTACACACAGTTGTGACCTGCTAACCATTGATAAGCAGATTTCACAAAAAGTTTTTCAGAACTCGTAAATCTCTAAAAATATTTATCCGGAGCACGATCCATAGAAGGAGGAAGAATGTCAACTATGCAAAATAAGGATCGAGCTTGAAGGAAATTAGAGAATTTATTCCAATTCAAAGACTTTTTATAAATTTTAATAATTGAACTTATACCGACTAAAGGAACATGTGCTAAAAATAATAATAAAAGGATTGAGTTGTTAGAGGAAGCTAAAATATGAGATTATTAGATTAATTTTTAATAATAAAGGTCTTGCTAATATATTTGACTATAGTATGGACTAAATAGTGATATGTAAAAATAATAATAATAAAGACCCTAGATCCATATAAAAAAGAGGGTGAATTACTCTTTCATCCTATAATTTGACATAATTCATTATCATTGCTTTCAAAAATCAATTAACATTCATTCAATTTAATATTCAAGAAAATTCTTTTCAATATGCATATCAAAATATAGCCTAGTCTCGTAAGTGCACACGCGACTTGATAATAGATCCAGATTCAAATCTTCTCCCCCAATGCTAAAAAAATAAATTATTTTCAACACATAATCTATAGAGTCCAGGTTTAAAATCTTTTCAACATATAATCTATGTATCCACTTTCGACTGAATCCCCTCCCTTAATGCTAAAAAAAGAAAAGTAAATTCTTTTCAACACATAATCTATACAGTCCAGGTTTAAATCCTTTTCAACATATAATCTGTTCAGTCCACTTTCGACTGATAGATTATAAAGTGATTATTTATTTTAATTAATATTTGAAACATAAATTCTGACTTGTGAATTATATGTGAAATTCTAGGGACTTAATTGTAATTTATCAATAAAAATAACAAATTATCTTGTGAGCAAGCAAGACCAGGCCCGCACGTAATCAAAATCCATTCACAAAACACACCGTTTTACAAACCCTAAGCAGAGCTCCTCCAGGCTCCAGCAAACCAACCAAACCCCCCGAAGCCTCTCACCAGTTGCCTCTCACCTCCTCCATCAACACAAAACCTTCATCGATTCACGGGATAAACCACCCACTATCATGAGCCGCGATGCCCTCTGCCACCAAAAAGACGGCGGCTAAATCAGATCCACCACAACGGTACAATCTCCTAATAATTTCTTCGATCACTTTTTATTTTTTTATTCTCTCATTCTCTTTTGGGATCCTTTTCAAATACATGCAGAGAAAATTCAGAGGAAATTCTCTCTGTAAACCAGAAGGTGTGCTAGAAATTCAGCTCACTGTTACTTTTTTTTTTGCTTGTTTTAATTAAATTTATCACTCGTAACTTTCTTCTTCTTCCTTTTTTTTTTTTTCTTGAATTACAAAAACAGAATGGAATTCAACTCCAAAGAAGGCGCCCAGAGAAAGAGAAAAAAGGTAAGCCTAGATTTATAAGCATTTTATATTTTTTTATTTTTTTTTATAAAAATTGAATATTATTTGTATTTTTGGCCAAAAGTTTAGGATTTCTTATGATTAACTCGCTCTAGTTATCCTTTTATTACTTACAATGACGACCCTGCAGTTGCATCTCTTCCCAATTCTCAGAAGTAACAAATTAAGAACTTAAACACTAGCTGCTGCAACCACTTGACTTGACCTAGAATAAAATAATTCAAAAAAAAGGGGAAGAACATTGTTGTTAAATCCTGTGCAAAAAGTCAAATTTTGTCTTGCTGAACATCTTGTGCGAAAGGTCCTCCTTGTAAATAACTAGTTTGGCCCTTAAGGTCCTGCTTAATGTTGGCAAATGTAACTTTCTATTCTCAATTTGGAGAGAAGTAATGATACCCGCATTATATAATTATATGCCTAAACGTGCAAAGTGGTACTTTATGACATAAATTTGTCAGTGGATATAAATTTGGTTTTAGCTGTCAAATTAACCTTATTATAAATCAAAACCCTGTTAAAAAGGGTATTGGTAATCTTTAGCATATTGTACTTTAGACATCACCTCAGTCACTTTTTAGCTTAATTGGTCGTGATTTTTTATTGGTTCTTGTCAAACTAGGAGACTTGGTCATCAAATTTTTGTATCTGGTCTATGAGTAATAAAAAAAGTGGCTGCTATTTTCAGCCAAAACTTGAATGCCAACCATATAATCTGTGATATAATACCATTTTAAGCTGTGACTGTATAATTAATTATATCAGGCGCTCTAATAGTTTGTAGTCTATGTTATAGTGTTTTAAGCATTATGGTAATTATTGTAACTTTTAACATTTGTGCATTGCAATCTTAGCCTATTGGTAGCACATCCTTTGGCTAGGAATAGAACTAGGTTTGAGTCCCTTTCCCCAGCACTCAAAAAAAGAAAAAAAAAAAAAGAATGGGGCACTTTGACACGTGTATTTTCCAAAGTTTGACTGTAGTTGTGCTTAGATAGCTAATATTTACCTTATCAGTTTTTTAGCACAAACAATGTATTCATAGCAGAAGAGTTCAAGCTCTAAATAAAAATGTAGAATCATAATCAGGACATGAAATTTTAGGTGGTAATCAATGCTCACGTAATGTATAAAATTGATGTACTTGATGCTTCACAGTTTTTTGTTATTTATTCTCATGCCATGCACACCATAGGTATTATCACTTTCCCTCTCATTCAACTATCTTATTATTGTAGCCTATATTCTATTTACAGTTTTAGGAATTTTCTTTACATTATCATATCACTATTTACATTATACTAGCATTAGTTATCAAAAGCTTCCAATCATTTAAAGAAACTAAAGCTTATGTATGACCTCATTCAATAGATTCTGAATAGATAAAGATAATATTATGTTCTAATTACTGGATTTTGCATCAAATAAGCGCCTTCAACATTTATGCTACTTCAATATTACATAATGTGATTCGCTAGCAATAGAATTAAAAAAATGTTCAAATATGAACATATAGAAATATAAAATTGAGGATACAGAGGCACCTTTATGTTACAATGCATTTTTCAGTGTTTGAATTTGTTCTGAGTCATGGACTATTCTGTTAATGTGATCATAGGCACTTGAAGCTCCTAAAGAACCTCGACGCCCTAAAACTCATTGGGATCATGTTTTAGAGGAGATGGTTTGGTTGTCAAAGGTAATCTGCTACTTGATTTTTAGATCTGACAATTTTCATTCCCTTTGCTTCTAAACAAAGATAGTATAGTATATTAGATGCATGTCTTTTTGCAATTATCCTTTGCTAATTAATCTGTTTACCTGTAGGACTTTGAGTCCGAGAGGAAATGGAAATTGGCTCAGGCAAAGAAGGTTGCTTTGAGAGCCAGCAAGGGAATGTTGGATCAGGCCACCAGGGAAGAAAAGAAATTGAAGGTTCTGCCCTTACCTTTCATTAAGAGATTGACCTGTAGAAGAAATTTTATTTGGTGAAGAAATTGTACACGCATTGAAGAAAAAAATTTTTTATCTTGGAGCAAAACAGTTTTTAAATAATCATCAATGTAACAGTTTTCAAATAATCATCAATGTATTTTTTATATTCCACTTGTGATCGTTAATGTATTTTTTAATGATGATCAGGAAGAGGAACAGCGTTTGCGAAAAGTTGCACTCAATATTTCAAAAGATGTGAAGAAGTTCTGGATTAAAATAGAGAAGCTGGCAAGTTTATGTATAATGATTTGATCTTCATCTTCCATTAATTTCTGTAGTTCCTTTGTGTGTGAAACTTTACAAAATTGTTCTTCCAGGTACTTTACAAGCATCAGATGGAGCTTGATGAAAAAAAGAAGAAGGCGCTTGATAAACAGCTGGAGTTCCTTCTAGGACAAACTGAGAGGTGGCTTCATTATATTTTATTTTCTTATCATTAATGGAGGATTTTTATAGTTATTTATGTTGGGTAGATATCTGATTTTCTCTGGTGAATTCTTAGGTACTCTACCATGTTAGCAGAAAATCTAGTAGACAAACCTCTGCTGCAATGTCCTGCACAGAATCATCAAAGTATTCGAAATGAGGGAGGAGAGAAAAATGATCCTAAGGAAGAACCAATAGAATTAACTGATGGTAAGCAGAAGATTGTGGTGTCATGATTAAATGCTTGGCTGGAGTAATATAAATATGTCCTTATCACAATATGTTGGATGCAGTTGTGCCAGAGCCTCAGTTGGATACTGGAGACAATGATGATGATTATGATATGCAATCAGATGAATCAGTGAGTTGCTTTTTTTTCATGTTCATAAATATTTACTCAGATGAAATAATTCTCTGGAAAAACTTTTTGCTACCGAACTCAAATCTTTGGTATGCATATTTCATCAGGTTAAAGATTTTATTATTACTCAAAATGTGGCTATATCTTGTAGTTTGTTGCATTCTTTATTGTTATTGGATGTATTATTGTGAATGGACATGAAAAAAATGGTGTTATAGAATATGTTTAGTTTTTCAAATATTAACAAAAACTTAATTTAGATTAAAGATATCTAATATTTCCTTTTCCTCATTTCATTTAACATAAAGTCTATGGACATGTAAGATGCCATCCAATAGAATCAAGGTAGAGAAAGTTCAGATGCCACTGAGATTTTCTCCATACTTCCTTTTGAATGAGGCAAGTGGTAAAAGTATATGCAATTTTGGTGAAAAGTTTCTTAAGAATCTGATAAGACCTTAATAAATTTAAATGGGGAGGTGAAAATGCAATTTTTAGCTATATGTAAGATTCCTTCAGTGTTGGCATGCCTATGCATTTACAATTGTTTTCAGGATCTTGCATGCAGTAGGTTATATTGTTGTTGGCCTTTTAAGCTGACAGTTCTTCAGTCCTGTAGTACTGATTTTTCTTTGTGATGCTTTTCAATCAATGCGCGATTGCAAATATTCTCATATGATAATGTTGTTCTAGGAAGATGATGAGCATACTATTGAGGAAGATGAAGCTCTGATAACTGAAGAGGAAAGGCAAGAAGAATTAGCTGCTTTGCACAATGAAATTGATATGCCAATTGAGGAGCTTCTTAAACGTTATGCTGTGGGGAGAGGTAAATTGTTGTCATGTTACATTTCTTTTAAAATTGGAGCCAAAAAAAAAAAAAAAAAGATACTTTCGGATTAAAAGGATTTTATCAAAGAAATTCAATTTATTTTGTATTGTCCAAATACAAATTCCATTTGTGTATGGACTACCGGAAAAGATACGGTACTTGGTTTGATTTTATTATATATACGGTCAGGAGAAATCGAAAAATTATTTTGGGATGCTGCATTTTACACATTTTCTGCACAACATAGCCAATTTTTTGGACTTCTGAGTTTTCCTCTTTTCCTGTTGTATCATTCCAATGATTAATTTTGTCATACTTGCTTTTCCAGTTAGTAGAGAAAATACTCCAGAAAAGGGTGAAAATGGAGCTGACCTAACAGTTCAAGGGGGAGATCGTGCTGAGAGTAAGAGGCAGTAAATGAGTAATATTACCAATAGCAATTTGTCTGTGACTGATATGACTGATGATTATGTGTTTTGCAGGCAGCAAAGATATATCTGCTTCCACCGACACTGAAATGAGCAGCTCACCTAGTATTACTGGTCGTCGTTGTGTAAGTTGTATGTGTTTGTGGTTGCCATTAATGGATTGAAAAATCAGTTGAGGGCTCAACATAATATCCATTTTCTAAATACAGGTTGAAGATGATATTTCCTTGCTCATGGAGGAAAACCATCTATCAGAAACTAAGACAGGTGAAACTGGAAATCAGTCAAATACTGTTGGTGAGCCTGCTAAAGAGCATATGCCATATGATTTCAATGATGAACTGGTAAGACTATACAGACATGCATGTGTATGTCAATATTTGGCTTGATTTCCTTCATCTTCTATTATGTTATTGTTTGCTGATACCAACACATAAATACACATATAAACAACTTGATAAATTTTCTTCTATTTTCCAGTTTTTAGTCTTTGGAATAATGGTCGCTTACATGGACCTTTATATTATGGTGATGATTTGATGTGTAGTCATTCACCTGTTAAGAAAAGAACCTTTTTTTTTTTTTGGGGGGGGGGGGGGGGTTAAATACAATATAAACAACTTTTGAATAAATTTTCTCTATTTTCCAGTTTTTTAGTCTTTGGAATAATGGTCGTCTTACATGGAACCTTTATATTATTGTCGTGATAGATTTTGATGTTGTAGTCAATTCACCTTGTTAAGAAAAGAAACCTCTTTTTTTTTTTTGGGCGGGGGGGGGGAGACGTACTATTTATTGTATCTTTTTTGAAGTTTCTTGTGCGGTTTGTTTGTTGGGGGGGGAGAGGGGGTACTATTATGTTATCTTTTGAAGTTCTTGTGCGGTTTGTTTGTTGAAGGGATAATATACATGTTGTGTTAGCATTACTAAAATTGACATACCCACCTGCTTGAGTGGTATTGAATGTGAACTCAACTGTCTCAGTATGTGCTATTCTAGACCCTTTAATCTGCCTGAACTCATCCCATCCTTTTAAACGTGAATCTTGTGAACCCAATTGTTGAATTTATTGCTTCCATCCGTTTACAGAATTTATTAATATTAATATTATTAATTCAATTCTATTGCATGTTTGTCTAATTTTTCCCCTCAATTTGTTTTATCATTTTATTCTGATTAGTGTTACTTAAAAAATTGAGTACTTAGTTATTTGTCTTTGGTCATTCATTTGTAGGAAGATGGTGATTTTATTCTTGCTAATGGAGAAGAAAAGGTATGTTATATGATAACTTTTTCCCATTTCTTCTTAGTTGTGGTTCCTCCTTTTATTTCTGTATTTATAAGAAGCTAGCTTAACTAGATTACTATTTTTCATTGAACAGTAACAAATTAATGATTGCAAAGGCATATAACTTTCTTCTTTTATCTCTTCTATATTTATGAGAATATAGCGTTTCTAGATTGCTAATATGCATCAAACAGTAATAAATTGATTCTGCAATGACATAAAACTAGGATCTTTTGTGCTCTGATACCACTTGACACAGGGGAAGAATTTAGGGCAATTAACTCTCAACAATTAGGGCTAGAATAGGTTGATTGTGGTTGGAACAAGATGAGATAATTGGTTTTAAAGAAAACCTTGGAATTAAAATTCTGAATTGAAGGAAAAAAATTGAATACATAATCTGATAATTGTTGTCCTATTTATACTAGTTATGGCAAAATCCTAATCCTAGATTGAAAAGCAATCCTAATTACCTAATACTTCTAGATTGAAAAGTATTCTTATGCAACTAATCCTAAATAAAGAAGGAAAACTGAATGCTATTCCTAATAAATTAACAGTCTCTTATTTAATTAGGAATCCTAAATAAACAAGGAAACCATAAAAAAAAAAAAAAAATCCTAGATGCTCCTGCATGAATTACCAATGATAACGTAGGGACTGGGGTGTGTCTTATCTTGTTTTGATTGGTGGTTGCTAAATTGCCATACCTGCTTCCTTGCCAAAGTGTTCCATCATGAAAATGTTTGTTGTGCAGCATGGAAAAATGTCACAACATGGTGTAATGTATTTTGGCAAGGGCATTTAGAGATGACACTTTTACCTGCCATTCACTGAATGACACAAGGAACCCCTATCCTTAGATGTCCTGGCCCAAATTGGTCCCAACTTATATATATCATAATTGACTTGTATAAAGATATGTTGCTCTTCTTCAAAACTATGACATTTATTACTTTACTCAATTATCAATGGATAGTACTCAGAATTGAATGTTTTTGTGTATGACCTCTAATGGTAATAATATATATATTAATAAATATAAGATGGAGATGCCCGTCTGCATCCCGCCTCCATTGCACATTGTTATGTCACTGTTCTGATCTCCTAACAGGGCCGGGATGGGAATAGCAAAAGCTATGCTGCCCATGGTTCCTATTTCTATGAAGTTAGGAATTGCCATTCCTGGGTCATTGCTGGAAATTATAGTTTGACTGATATCATAATAATCCCCAAGTTACTGGCCTTTTTCTTAAAGAGTATTTTTAAAGTATTGTCATGAGAACACTGGAAGGTAAAGAATTCTTTGGCGTTCCAGTGTTGAAACCTACTCTCATTTGATATTTTTACTTTTAGCATAATACAACATAACATGCTGCCTGAAGTGTTCTATTATATTAGTTTATGTTTATGCATTTAGGCTGTAAGTATTTAGCTTTCCTCTATCCTCCCTCATTTTGTTAAATTTAGTCTCTTGTTGCCAAGCAAGGTTCAGATATTATAACCTGCGGTTTTACTCAGGATGATGAGACAACATTGTTGGAGGAGGAAGAATTGGCAAAAGCTGATCCAGACAATACCATAGATGAGGTAAAGAATATGTCTGATATATTGTGTTTCTTTACATTCATTCATCTTAGATTTTGGTAAGGATGGTTCTTTCTCCCAAAAGACCCTTGAATGGCTCATCAGATTAGTTGCCACTTTGGAACTTGCATATATCTGAGTATGCATCTACTAATTTACAGATCTCTTTGCTGCAAAAGGAGAGTGAAATTCCTCTAGAAGAATTGCTTGCAAGGTATAAAAAGGTAGGTATAGGAATGTTTCTTCATGTAGCTCATGCTGATTGTGTTGTAACTTGGTTTTCACTGTATAATTCATGTCGATTTATTAGGGATTCAACACTGAAGTTTCAGAGGATGAATCTGAATATACCTCTGCTTTATCAGACAACTTGTTGGACTCCCCAAACCATAAAGACGTTGAACTGAAAGAGCAGGTTGTATCTATGGATAAAAATGTCGAACTGACTGAATCCTTACCAGTTTCACATCATCTTATAAAGGAACAAGAAGCAGGAAGCGAGAAAACTGCAGAAGAAGGAAATGAGAGTGAGAATAGAATTGCTGATGCTGCTGCTGCTGCAAGATCTGCACAGCCAACTGGAAATACATTCTCAACAACAAAAGTGCGTACAAAGTTCCCTTTTCTTCTTAAGTACCCCCTTCGTGAGTATCAACATATTGGCCTGGATTGGCTTGTAACTATGTATGAGAAAAGGTTAAATGGGATTCTAGCTGATGAAATGGGTCTTGGAAAGACCATCATGACTATTTCATTGCTTGCACATCTGGCATGTGAAAAGGGAATATGGGGTCCGCATCTAATTGTGGTTCCAACAAGTGTAATGCTTAACTGGGAAACAGAATTTCTGAAATGGTGTCCAGCTTTTAAGATTCTCACTTACTTTGGTAGTGCGAAAGAACGTAAATTAAAGAGGCAAGGTTGGTTGAAACCAAACTTCTTCCATGTATGCATTACCACTTACAGGTTGGTCATACAGGATTCAAAAGTATTCAAGAGGAAGAAGTGGAAGTACTTGATTTTGGATGAAGCTCATCTGATAAAAAATTGGAAGTCCCAGAGATGGCAAACTCTTCTCAACTTCAATTCAAAACGACGAATCTTATTGACTGGTACTCCCTTGCAGAATGATCTCATGGAACTGTGGTCTTTAATGCATTTCTTGATGCCCCACATCTTTCAGTCTCATCAGGAGTTCAAGGATTGGTTCAGTAATCCCATATCAGGGATGGTGGAGGGACAAGAAAGAGTGAACAAAGAAGTTGTTGATCGCCTGCATAATGTTCTTCGACCATTTATACTTCGGCGCCTGAAAAGGGATGTGGAGAAGCAGCTTCCTATGAAACATGAGCATGTCATCTATTGTAGACTTTCAAAAAGGCAGCGAAACTTGTATGAGGACTTCATTGCTAGCTCAGAGACGCAAGCTACCCTCGCTAGTGCTAACTTTTTTGGGATGATTAGCATTATAATGCAACTTCGTAAGGTGTGCAATCATCCTGACTTATTTGAGGGTCGTCCAATTATCAGTTCTTTTGACATGGCTGGTTTAGATATCCAGTTGAGTTCTTCCATATGTTCGATGCTTTCTCCTAGCCCATTTTCAACTGTAGACCTTTGCAGTTTAGGGCTCTTTTTTACTCATCTTGATTTTTACATGACTTCTTGGGAGTATGATGCAGTAAATGCTATTGCTACTCCTTCAAGATTGATCGAAGAGCGTGCCAATCGAGATAGCATCGAAGAAATTGGGCCTCAATCTAAACACTGGAAGAAGTTGCCTGGCACAAATATTTTTGAACAGATTCAAAAGGCAGTGTTTGAGGAGAGACTAAGAGAAATGAAGGAACGGGCAGCATCTATTGCATGGTGGAATTCCTTGAGGTGTCGGAAGAAACCTATGTATCCAACAACGTTACAAGAACTTCTTACCATTAAAATTCCAGTTGATGATATTCACCGCCAAAAGGTTGATCAACGGTCCTATTTGTACTCCTCTAAGCTTGGTGATGTTATTCTTTCACCAGTTGAACGCTTCCAGAGGATGATTAATCTTGTTGAGTCATTTATGTTTGCTATACCTGCAGCACGTGCTCCAGTACCTGTTTGTTGGTGTAGTAAAACAGGAACTTCCATTTTTCTTCATCCAAGTTATAAGGATAAGTGCTCTGAAATGCTGTTGCCTCTTCTTTCACCTATTAGACCTGCAATTGTGAGGAGGCAAGTGTATTTTCCAGACAGGCGACTTATACAGTTTGACTGTGGAAAGTTGCAGGAACTTGCATTTTTGCTTAGGAAGTTAAAATCAGAAGGTCACCGGGCATTGATATTCACCCAGATGACCAAGATGCTTGATATATTGGAGGCTTTTATAAATTTGTATGGTTACACTTACATGCGTTTAGATGGATCCACTCAACCTGAGGAAAGACAAACATTGATGCAACGATTTAACACAAATCCCAAGATTTTTCTCTTCATTTTGTCAACCCGTAGCGGGGGAGTTGGCATCAATCTTTTTGGAGCAGATACAGTTATCTTTTATGATAGTGACTGGAACCCTGCGATGGATCAACAAGCTCAGGATCGCTGCCATCGGATAGGGCAGACACGTGAAGTACATATCTATAGGTTAATCAGTGAGAGCACTATTGAAGAAAATATATTAAAGAAAGCCAATCAGAAACGTGCTCTTGATGATCTAGTCATACAGAGTGGAGGCTACAACACTGAGTTTTTCAAGAAGCTTGATCCTATGGAATTGTTCTCTGGTCATAAAGCTCTTCCGATAAAGAATGTACCAAAAGAGAAGAGTCATAGTCATGGGAATGAGGTTTCTGTGTCTAATGCAGATGTGGAGGCTGCTTTAAAATATGCAGAAGATGAAGCAGATTATATGGCATTGAAAAAAGTTGAGCTGGAAGAAGCTGTTGACAATCAGGAGTTTACAGAAGCCATTGGGAGATTGGAAGATGATGAGCTTGTTAATGATGATGATAAGACTGATGAGCCAGCAGATATGGAGGTGGTAACTCAAAATAAAGACAATGGCGTAAACTTAAATGTGAAAGATCCAATTGAAGAAAGGAATCTAACTCTTGCTGCCAATGAAGATGATGTGGACATGCTCGATGATGTCAAACAGATGGCTGCAGCAGCAGCAGCTGCTGGACAGGCTATCTCAACCTTGGAGAATCAGCTACGTCCCATTGACAGATATGCAATACGTTTTCTGGAATTGTGGGACCCAATCATAGACAAAGCAGCGATGGATTCTGAAGTTAGGTTTGAGGAGGCGGAATGGGAACTTGATCGTATTGAGAAATACAAAGAGGAAATGGAAGCTGATATTGATGATGATGAGGAACCATTAGTATATGAAAGTAAGCAATATTTTTTTTAATCTTTTTACTTAATAAGAATTTTGTTACACATATTATGCAATCATGTGCAATTGCAGAAAATAGTGTTTAGGATTTTTTTTTTTTTTTTTTTTTTTTTTTTTTTTTTTTTTTTTTTTTTTAATTATTTTTGCTTTGATATGGTCAAGATGTACATTCAAAATAAATTTATTGGAATGTGCTCAAACTTTTTTAATTGAGCAATTTTTGCATGATTTTTTTTTTTTTTTTTTTTTTTTTGATTATTTGCTTTGATATGGTCAAGATGTTACATTCAAATAAATTTATTGGAATGTGCTCAAACTTTTTAATGAGCAATTTTTGCATGATGTATACTGACATGTTTACTAATATCAGGATGGGATGCTGATTTTGCAACTGAGGCGTACAGACAGCAAGTTGAGGCCCTAGCTCAGCATCAGGTCAGTGAATTTTATATTTTAGAGCAAATTTTCTGGAGACATGTCTGGCAGCTGCTTGATTTTGTATGTCATGTAGTTACAAGAAGAGCTGGAAGCTGAAGCTAATGAAAAGGAAGACACAGATGATGGGTACTGTGACACTACAGCGTAAGATGATCCTATGCTCATTGTAAAATATTTCTGCTGGCAAATTTACTTCTTTTCGTTTTCTGGAAGATGCTATTGGGTTGATGCTTTGGCCAATGTAGGCTAACAGTCAAGTTCCTAACCGCTTCCTTATTATTCTAATTTCATCTGAGATTTAAGATTTAGGCTACGTTTGTTTCCGGAAAATAACTTATCTGGAAAATATTTTCCTAATCGAAGGGAATACTAAGCCCTTTTTATGAAAAATGACTTCTCATTTTCAAAAGAAGAAAATATTTTCTGGATATCATTAGACTTATTATAATATTATAAACATACATGCATTAATTCACTAATTACTGGTGGCCACTATCACTGTTCATCGGCCATCACCACCCACTACAGCCGTCCACCATCATGGTCACCTGCGACAATTCATTGTCTTTTATGTATTTTTTCTGATGTTTAACAATAATTTTTAAAATACAAAATTTCTATATTATAAATAGTTTTATGGTCTTATTGGTTCAAAATTATAATATTTTAACTAATTTTCAATATTGCAACCAAACAATAAAAAATGAGTTATTTGGAAAATATTTTCCAAAGATAAGTTACTCTCTAGATACGAACTGAGCCTTAGTGCTTCTTAAATTTCTTAGAAGTGTTTGATTTTGCTACAGTGCTATGCTAGGTTGCTAGACACCTATTGCAACATGGATTCAGCCATCTTAAAAACCAGCAATGGTCATAATACCTTAAAAAACTGTGTTAGAACCATATAATATAAAACTAATTACTACTTTTGGGTTTTGGCCATGGTTTGTCAATCCGTACTGACCAGTTGGGCTGAGAGAGCAGACTTTTATAGTTTGAAACTTACATTAGGAATAGAAATCATAACCTTACATTAGGATTGGAAGGAACCACATGTTTTAATTTTGATTTCCTTTTTAGTTGACTGGATCTTTGGTCGGTCGGTCGAGGATAATATGGGATTGTTTGATGTATCTATGGTGACAAAACTTGGACATGTGATTTTGCTTTAGTTAATGTGAATGTGGCAGTCTGGGATGACTTAGTAGTAACCTTTTGTTATTTTTACCAATTTCAGTCAGTTACTTGTTTTCTGTCAGCAGGAATGACATGGCTAGCAAACCCAAACAGAAGTCCAAAAAGAAACCAAAGAAGGCCAAGTTTAGATCTTTGAAGAAAGGATCTCTCACTGCTGAATTGAAACATGTGAAAGAGGAGCCATCAATGGAAACCATATCCATTGATGATGGAATATATCACGATGAGGTTACTTACGCGGACATGATGTCTCAATATTCAGGATTGCTGAAGAAACGTAAGAAAGTTGAAACAATTGGTGTTGAAGCGGGAAAGAGCTCCAAGAAGAAATTGAAGAAATCAAAGAAGACTCCTGAAATATGCCCTTCAGATCTAGATTCAAACTTGTCTGGGAAGCAGCAAGATGATTCTATGGAATTCAAACCATGTGAGAATGCAGTTACTGATCTGGAGCAGAAACCAGCTGGTAGAAGTAAAATGGGTGGAAGGATCTCCATCACGGCCATGCCAGTGAAGCGGGTCCTAATGATTAAACCAGAGAAGTTAAAGAAGGGGAATGTTTGGTCAAGAGATTGTGTTCCATCACCTGATTCATGGCTACCCCAGGAAGATGCAATATTATGTGCTATTGTGCACGAATATGGCCCTCAATGGAGCTTGGTTAGTGAAACTTTGTATGGGATGACTGCTGGCGGGTTTTATAGGGGAAGATATCGTCATCCAGTTCATTGTTGTGAGAGATTCAGGGAACTGATTGTAAGATATGTTTTGTCTGCCCCAGAAAATCCTATTAATGAAAAGATGGGTAATACAGGCTCTGGAAAGGCACTTCTCAAAGTAACTGAGGTAAGTCTAGTATTCTCCCTTAACAGTGAAATAAGGGTTCATAGGACTCTTTCAATTGTTTCTTTTGTATTAAATCAATATTTCTTTTACTTCTCTATTCTAATGGAAGCTTGGTCTTTCTGTCATGGTTTTGATCGTGAAGTGGGATATTCGAGTTTTAAAATATGCTCAGATTAACTGTCAGCTAATGCTTACTGATGGCTCTTCTATTCCTAGTCTAACCTATCACCATGGGCTAATTACTTTTTCAAGATTAAATAACATTAATTCCTTCCCAATGTCTCTCTCATGCATGTCTGTGTGCGTGATGTGGATATATTAGACTTAATAGAATTAAAAGTAATATCTTAAATACATAAAGAGATGCTGTTGACCAATTTCCAATGGTGGCAGGATAATATTCAGTTGCTGTTAAATGTTGCTATGGAGCAGCCAGACACTGAGTTGCTGCTCCAGAAGCACTTCACCGCCCTTCTTTCTTCAGTCTGGAGGACAACATCACGTAGTGACCGCCAACAAAACCTTTCATCATCTAGAAATGGCCTTTATTCTGGCAGAAGGCGTTTCAGTGCATTCAATCAGATATCTTGGAATTCAATGGAAGAGCCTGCAAAAAGAATGAAGTTCAATAATGTAGCACAGGGTGGCAAGTTGTTGGCAGCTGCGCTCCATGAATCCCACTGTAGGTCCATGGATGAGGCGATCTCCAGTCCTAATCAGATGGAAGATGTTTCTTCAGTTTCTGAACAGGTTGAAGTAACTCTGGAGTTTGGAAAGGAGGAAGATGATACCTTGATTCCATTGCCACGTGTCATAAATCTGTCGATACCAATCTCAGGCTCGCAAAGTTTCATAAACAAGGATGTGAGAGGAGAACATCATCTTAAAGCTTCCACAATTGTGGCCGAGAGTCGATTCATGTATGTTTTCCTGCAACCTTGAAGATTCCTTTATTCATGGATTAGATATGCTTTTGGTGTCAAGGGTTCCTTGTTAATTCTTTTCCTTATGAAATCAACATCTTTAGCTTAGCTTAGATTTGTGTTGCCGAATGCATTCAATTGTAGTATTTGGTGGGTGGGACCTAGACTTATGCTAATTCTTTTGGCTGATGCTGACCTTGTAGGAACTAACCATTCAGAACCCTCCCATCCTCCCTCTCTCTCTCACGTGCCCACCATTTTTTTCAGTTCTTATCAGATGTACATGATGCATCTCGTTTATTGTTGTCTGGAGTAGATATGTGAATTGAATAACATTATCTGGAATAGTTGAGGATATTGGTTTGAACAAAAATGCATTAAAAATTTCGGATACAAGCCAGTGATGATTCACAAAAGTTATGTTCTAACTTTAATTTATATCGTACTGCATGAAATGAATACGGGGATTGAATGCTTGAATTTGCTACTAAAGCAACGTAATTTTCTCAGGGATGCAGCAAAAGCTTGTGTTGAAGGCAGTCTGGGTTGGGCTTCATCTGCATTCCCAGCAAATGATGTCAAACTACGAGCAACTTCCAAACCACAGACCTTGGGAAAGCACAAGTTGTCCGTCTCTGATTCAGTAAAGCCACCTAGATCAAAACTGAAGAAAACTTCAGAGTTCAGTGAGATGCACCATCTATTTGCTGAGCCAGTATTACAATCACCAATGATGGTGTCTCCAAGGGACCCTAATTTAAAGTTTGACCTTACTCCAGCTTTCATTCAGGACAATTGGATGAATGATACAGATTGTTATTTGGATAAAGAGCTTTCATTGGAAATGGGGGGCTTGGAACTTGTTCCTCATACTTATGTTCCTGATTTAATTTCTGGCCTAGATGATTTTTCATTATTGCCAGAATATACTGATATTGGATAGGATTAACATAATGATATTTTTTTCATATCAGAGTTGAAGCTTTTATGACGTTTAGGGAGCAGAGCTTCTCACTGCAAACATGCCCTGATTGGTTGATACCCAAAAATGGAGCATGTTTTCATGTTCCTGGGACATGGTGGATGAATACAGCATAGATTACAAACAAGGGGAGGGCATGATTCAGTTGTTGGTTTAGATGCCAGAAAAATTATGTTTTACTGAGAATCTGATATGACAGCACCGGGCAGATAGGAGGTAGGAAAATAGAAATTGTATCATATTTTTTCTTTCGTTAAATTTAATTCTTATTGGGATGTGCCAAATATTCTGAGGCTTGGATTAGCAGATCGAATTTTGGCTTGTTTCCCACAATAGAAATGAATTAGGATAGGGAAAAGAAAATGGAAATTAATGAAAAGTGGCGTTATTCCCCTCTATCTGTTTCTGTCTGTCTCTCTCTCATATGAGCATATGAATGTTTCTTTTAACAGTTTTCTTTTGTTTCATGAAAGCTACGACACGATGTTATTTGGATTGCGGTCTTTGAAGTTAACACAGCTTTGTTGTAGCAGTGTAGTGTACTATGATTTATGAAATTCTCTTGATGTTATTTGGCATACTTACTATACTCTCTTGACGATTTCATGAATAACGCTGGATATGGAGGAGTCCAAGTGAGATTTCACATTCAAGAGCTCTTGCCTTACCAATTAGTTATTTTAATTCGTTCAATCATATTTTAGAATAAAGATTCCTAAAAAATTGTCATTTTGATTAATTGAAATTGAATCATGTTATTCAACCCTGGGGAAGTAAAATAGAACAGTACAAAGTAGTGGTTATTTTGATGATGATGGTGTAAATTTTAGGATTTTCAACGAGCTAAATATCCCTTTTGTCTGTTATTATTTCATGCAGTTAAAGGTTTAGCTAAGGATTCAATTGAACGTAAGCTTTAAGGGTTCTTTTATTAGAATTTAACTCATTTCAATTTATTTATTGAAAGAAATCATCAGACATCAAGTGCAATGCAATTGCAAATTACAACTTGATCCATTAGATGGTGAGAGCGGGTGACAGAAGTCAGACCTCAAGATCCAACTACCTCAGCTCAAGGCATCAAGCCAAGACAGCATTGGCAGTCGAATTCATCGAACGACCAAATAGACCAGTTTGAATTTTTTATTTTCAAATATTTAATAACTTTGCTGTCCATATTTTACTCCTAAGCAGGAAGTGTATGATTATTTTTCCCCGTGGTTGGCAATAATGGTTAAAATTTTAAAGGAGTCGTTCATATCGGAACATGGAGAAGGACTAAAGATACAAGTAACTCATAAAAGGTTCAAAATCATTGCAATTGCAGAGACACAAGCCGCATTCCAGTAAAGCTACCCTCACCACAATCTATATTTCCTATCCAATGAGGTGATTAAATTTACAAAAAATACGCTCATCTCCACCAAACTAACTAATTCTTCCCACCGTAGGGACTGTCATCTTTATTTGCTCACCCCATCTTGATTGTTCACTTAGTACCCATATCCTGTTGAAATAAAGTGGACATTAAAATTCAGTGACAATGTAGGAGGGAAGAGGCATACCGGCCAAGATTATCTCATAAGTTCGAAAAGTACGAACCTGAATTGTCCATGGGATTGCCAGCAGGGACTGGTTCAGGCTCCTTGATCTCAACAACCACACAATCAGACATCAAGAAAGTTTTTGCTACTGATGATGCATGCTCCAGGCAACATCTAACCACCTGAAAGAAAGACATGAATGAGCTAAGCAGTTAGGATAGTTCTTCAAAGATCGAATGAGATACATCTAGTTCCCTTTCCACAACAAAATTATAGCTGGAAATGGAAAATTTCAAACAACTTTCTGTAATTAATCTGTTAGCTTCAAAGGATAATACCATATTCTAATAGATCATTTTTGATGATTGACACCTTCCAAAGATTAGAGAGAAGATATAGCCATTATGTTACAGCACTAATATGTCGACCACTCCTCTTGGAAGAGCAAAGCGAAACTCACCTTTGTTGGATCAATTATACCAGCAGCCATTAGATCTTCATAATTTCCGGTTGCAGCATTGTATCCAAATTTTGGATTGTCACTGGAAAGCACCTGTACAAACAGATAACAACTTTAGTTGCAAGCAACATGAAACCAAACAAATTAAGAATAGATTGATCATTGCAGAGTTCCACACCTTCTCGCTGACCACACTTCCATTTACACCAGCATTCTTGGCAATTAATTTGAGTGGGTAGCTGAGAGCCCTTTTCACAATATCTGCCCCTACCTGAAACCAAACCAAAACAATCGAGCTCAAAACACACTTCCAAAACATTTTGAAATAAGCACTAGCTCAAGTTACTACGCCCGAGTTACCTTTTCTTCATCATTGTCAAGGGTGTCTTTAATGGCATCCACCTTCGATGCAAGTCTCAACAGGGTGCAACCACCACCAACTACAATACCTTCCTCAACAGCTGCCTGAATATCATTTCATTATTGACAAATGCAATCAGAAACTTAAATTGGATGTAAAAACAACAAAAAGCAGTGGTACTAAGATCAGTACCTTTGTTGCATTAAGAGCATCTTCAACTCTCAATTTCTTTTCTTTGAGTTCTGTCTCAGTTTGTGCTCCAACCTTTAAAATTTTGAGAAAAACAATTCTTTAGGGAAGACTATGTTAAATGGTTTCAATGATCTTTTGCTGAAAGATGATCAGCTGAAAATTTTACCTGTATCACAGCAACACCACCTGACAGTTTTGCAATCCTCTCATTTAGCTTTTCCCTTTCATACTCTTGTTCAGCAGCCTGTAAAAATGTAATAATTCATACTTCAGGTAACAATCAATTCTGAGAAGCACAAATTTTCTTGGAAAGAATATGAGCAGTAAGCCAAAGCATTTCATACCTCAATGAGGTTTCTTATTTGTGCAACCCTCTTGCTTACTGCTTCTTGGGTGCTTCCATCACCCACAATGGTAGTATAATCCTTGGTAAGTACCACTTTGGAAGCATGGCCCAAAACCTCCTTGCCAACTTTGTCCAAGGCAAGTCCCACCTCATCTCTAATAACAGTTCCTGCAATCCAGATTAAGAGCATAAACATCCAATATAAAAGAGCGATTGCAAACAGAAAAAAGGAAAAAGAAGGGAGGAGAGGTCAACGGAGGAAATAAAAAGGTTAAATATTTGGAACATTTACATGAAGTAGATAAGGAAATGTGGAGGCAGTACCAATGACACAGAAAGGCAAAAACCAAAATACAGAGTACAAAAAATTAACATCATTTGAACTAACCTCCAGTTAAAATAGCAATGTCATCAAGGTACTGGCTCTTTCTCTCTCCAAAACCAGGAGCTTTGAGAGCAGCAATCTTTAGAGCACCCCTAAGCTTATTCACAACAAGAGTTGCCAAAGCTTCTTGCTCAATGTCTTCAGCAATAATCAGAATTGGGTATCCACTCCTGATTGCATCTTCAAGAATGTTAATGAGATCCCTCGCATTCGTAATTTTCTTATCAACAAGAAGCAACTGCAGCAAAAAAATACACCTAATTATTTTGAAATCACAATTAAAAAGGAGGAAAAATAAAAAGTCATTGTGGATAGCTTACCTTGCAGTTCTCATATTCAACAGACATTTTCTCACTGTCTGTAACAAAATAAGGTGAGATGTAACCCCGATCAAATTGCATTCCCTCAACAACATAGAGGCTGTTTTCTGCACTTTTTCCCTCTTCAAGAGTCACCACTCCTTTACGACCCACTTTACTCATGGCTTCTGCTATCATATTCCCCACTTCATAGTTGTTCCCTGCACTAACAGCTGCTACATCTGCTAGTTCACTGTCTTCAACCTGCAACAGCAAACTACTGTTACTTAACCCCTTCCGTATAAATTTAATACAAATATGAGAGATTTCAATGGCAATACAAATTTAACAATGAAGATTCGCTAACAGTTATATATTACCTCTTTCGACATTGACTTGAGTTCAGTCACTAAAGCTTTTGAGGTCTTCTCAATACCCCTAGTAATTAGCACAGGGTTTGCACCAGCAGCCACAACCTGTATAATTGAACCATCCATCAATATGATTACCAAGTTTGACAATCTTCATACAGAAGATAGTACAAATCATCCCACAAACCTTGACTCCTTCAGCAATAAGGCCTTGAGCAAGAACAACAGAAGTAGTGGTCCCATCACCAGCCAAGTCATTTGTCTTGGCAGCTGCCTGCCTCACCAACTTGGCACCAATATTCTCAACTGGATCCTCCAATTCAACCTAAGAAATTCGGGCAAAGCACATTGTCAATAAACCTAGAGATAAATAACAGAAAATTATCATAAAACTAAAAACGTGTAGTAGTAATGTCAGCAACATATGGAAGAATTGAAAGACCATTTACATCGCAGAGTTAGGGACCAAAGCAGGCAAAATTTACATTCGAACTGTCCTCCATATGGTTTGCTTTCACGTATTTAGATAACCCCCATGAGATTCAAGCTATGAATAACAAAAGAGAAATGTGGAAACGAAACAATAGAAAACAGACATGGGAAAACATAAGAGATGGAAACATGGGGAAATGTGTATATATAAAAAAAATTAGGGCATTTTCATAAATATCAAATTTTCATATAAAAACAAAAATTAAGCTCATTCAATTACAATAGGGGTTTTAAGAGTTGAAGTGCTTATTCTTCCTTCCTTCCCAAGCAAGTACTTGAAATATATTGAATAGTAATATTTTTTTAAAGAATACAATATATATATAGAGACACAGACGCGCGCGCGCGCGCCCGCACACACGCCCACACACACGCACACACGCGCGCGCGCGCGCACACACACAAGGGTGAGCGCACTTTTGTTTGGAGGGCTAGGGTCATACTTTTTGGACTAAAGCTTCATATAGCCGACGCCAACTAGTTTGGACTTAGCTTTTGTTGTTGACTTTTTCAAGACAAACACACTTCAGACTAAGAAATGTGTTTCAAATTTTTCTAAACTTCCAGAAATTGCCTGGAGTTTCCTGCTTTGGAAATGTATCTGAATCCAAAATGCAGAAACCCACCTAATTTACACTTTCTGTGCATTGTAGTATTCAACTAGTAAGACAATGAAGCACTAAAGAATCTTGAGACAGAATACCTCTTTGGCGACAGTCACACCATCATTAACAATTTTTGGGGAGCCATACTTGCTCTCAAGAACAACATTCCTGCCTTTAGGACCTAGAGTAACTCCAACTAGATCTGCAAGTTTGTTCACACCAGTCTGCAAGAATGCAACAAATGCTTGAAAGACAACCAAGAATAAAAATATAAAGGTCATGTATCATAAGCCTACATCATATATTCGCGCGCAATATATTTGAATAGTAATATTTTTTTTTAAAGAATACAATTATATATATAGAGACACAGACGCGCCTGGCGCGCCCGCACACACGCCCACACACACGCACATCAATCTGCGCGCCGCCCAGCGCCGCACACACACAATGGGTGAAGTCGCACTTTTGTTTGGAGTGTGCTCTAGCTCTTTTTGGGCATGACTTAAACTTACCTAATAAGCCGACGCCAAACTAGTATATGGACTTAGTTTTTGTTGTTGACTTATTTTTCAAGACAAACACACACTTCAGACTAAGAAATGTGTTTTCAAATTTTTTCTATTAACTTCCAGAAATTGCCTGGAGTCTCTCTTTTCTTGCTTTGGAAATTGTATCTGAAATCCAAATATGAGGAAAACCCACCTAATTTACAACTTTCTGTGCATTGTAGTTATTCAGACTAGTAGAACCAATCGAAAAGCCACTAAAATGAATCTTGAGACAGGAATACCTCTTTTGCGGGTTCAGGTCACCACCAATTCATTAACAATTTCTCTGGGGGAGCATACTTTTCTCTAAGAAAACAACAATTCCTGGGCTTTAGGAATAGAGTAAACTCAACTAGGATCTGACAAGTATTGTTTACACCAGTCTGCCAAGAATGCAACAAATGCTATGAAAGACAACCAAGAATAAAAAATATTAGGTCATGTATCATAAGCTACATCAAATTTATATATATATATTTATATATATATATATAGTATTATATAATATAATATATACTATGAAATAAAACACTCACCTTGCAATTTTCTTAATTGCTTGATCCATCTTTTGTTGATATATATATACATATGAATAAACACTCACTTGCAATTTCTTAATTGCTGATCCATCTTTGTTGAAATGCAACTCTTTGGCCATAGCATTAATTTTGGGAGATCGAGATCTACGTAAAACCACATTCTGTCTCCTACCAAATGAGCTTCCAGAAATGGAGGCAAAAGAAGACAACCTGTTTGAAGAAGATGCAAGATTCTTGTCCATCACCCGTCCATTGGGAGCAGCCAAGGAAGACATGGCAGTAAATGTAGAAGCCATGTTCTATTTGACAGCTGACAAAAACCAATTGACTAATTTCAGTTACGTCAAGACATTCTTAAAACTCGGAAGTCAAAACAAAGCAACAATTAGAGGAGAGATAGAGAGAAAAACATGATGAGAATCAAAAGAGCATGCAAAAGGCAGTTTAGATCAAGCAAAAGTAAAATTTTTTTCTGAAAGAAATGATTTCCTTCCTATCATAATTAAAAATTGTAATGGAAGTTGAATTATTGGCAACAATTTCAAGCACCTAAAATTACCTTTAATACCCAAATACAAGAAAATTTCGGTCTAGTCCAACACCCAATTGACTTATTCTTAAGATTTCTGGTTAAATTCTTATGCTGCACAAATTATTATAAACATTGTTATAAAGCTAAATTTACATAATCAAATTCAAAGCACTATATTTATGTATATTCACAAAAATGATGGAAAAGATAAACAAAAATCAACAACTACAAAAAAGAAGGAACTATTTTCAATCATCCATCACCAAGAGCTTCAAAACAGAACAATTCCAGATAAATTCTACCAGTGAAAGCATGAAACCGAACTAAATAAAGGAACCATTTCCACATAGATAAACAGCAAACAGAAGCGCTGTAAAGTGACAAACTTCGAATCAATTTAACACCATTTCATCAATTAAAAATCAAATTTCAATGCTAAACCAACAAAATGAGACAGAAATACACCATAAAAACAAAAACAACAATGAAACAGCCAAAACCATCATTGATAAAGAGATTAAAGAGCTAACCGAGAGAAAAATGAGACGGCTGTGGTTGTGGTGGTGGTAGTGGCAGGAAAGATTAGGGTTTTAGAAGGGCGTCGAGAGGCGTAGCTTAGGTTTATCCTTTACTACTACTGAAAAGAAGCAGTCTCTCTCTTTCTAAACGTTAGGTTTAATTGATATATAGTATGATGATATACTATAGATGAAGTTAGCTCTTGAAGGTTCTAATGAAATCTGGACCGTTGGATCAAAACCCATTTCTGTTTTGGTTGTCTGTTGTTGGAACACTCTAGAACCTATTATATACTTGTACATTTCTCACTCTGACTGACGCGGGTCCAGTCGGGTTTACCTTGACCCGATTTCAATTCAGTTTAAGCAGGTCAGTTGGTTCGGTGTAACCACAAATTTGAAGACCCGAAAATTTGAAACTTGGAATGAGAAAACCACACACATATTCATATAAGGACTTTATACGATTTTTGAGAAGGTTTTTACTATAATACAGATTTAAAAAATTTTGTATTAATAGAGAAATTATAATTTTATGACATTTGGCATCCTAACCTACTACAGCAGGTACATATCATTCGTTATATAAGTTTTTTATTCTTTGCAAATTTTTTTTTTCTTTTAGTAGAAAAAATGTCTTTTTAAATTATTATTAAAAAAATACATATCATTGTTTTTAATTATATATTTTTTCAATTTCATTTTGATAAATATTTTTTTAAAATGTTAGAAATATTTTTTATAAATTAATTTTTGAGTTTTTAATTATATATTTTTTTCAATTCATTTGATAAATTATTTTTTTAAAATGTTGAAATATTTTTTATAAATAATTTTTATTTATTTAATAATTTTAACCTCACTTCTTCATAGCAAGAAAAGAATTAAAGCACATATGATAATTCTAAAAACATTTATATTATAATGTTATAAATCGATGTAAAAGGAGAATTTAAAGAAAATAATTAAAAATGAGATAAAGTAAAATGATGTGGTATAAATTAAAATATTTAAATTTTAATAAAGTGACACAATTGCCTTTTTATAAAAGTTAATCCGCCTAATAATGAAAGTATTAATATAAATATTTAAAATTAACCGAAAAATTAAAATCGATGTTAATAATAATATTATTGATTTAGGAGATAAACAAGAAGTTTAATGATTACAGTTTATAAAAATTTACATATTGGCAGGAACTATATGTGATCTTGAGAGTTTTTTCTTATAATGCACAAATAAAAATAGGCTTTTCAAAAAATAAAAGTTTTGATGAATAATGTTATGGATTAATTAGAATAAATATTTTTTCAAAAAATAAAGTTGATGAAATTGATTATGGATTAATAAATAAATATTTTGTAGTAATTAAGCAATCATTTTTGTTTTTAAACTAAATAGGAATTTTTTTACCTATACAGTAGGTAGATGGTTTCTCTTTTCCTCTAGGATTCAATGGCTAAGTTTAAACAATAAAATCTAATGTCCATTAATTATTCATTATGGATGCAGAATTATTAACATTCTGTATTATAGTTTCTCCCCTAAATGAAATAAAAAAATCATATCGAATCGAAATTGTAAGAATCAACAAAAAATATTTTACTGACTCAGAGTCGATTTCAGTTCTTAATAAAAATCCAGTTAAAACTGTACCCAATTCAATAATAAATTTAATGTATTTTTTAGATATAATATGCAATCTACAATAATTATCATTATTTTTTTATTAAAAAACATTTAATGGTGTATAAATTGGAACTACTTGCATGGAATATATATGCCTTCTGCTGTGTAATTTCTCTTCTTTCTCTAGTCTTCTAACACTAATTTTAGTTTTGGATGGTCTCTGTTAATAGTACCCTACCATTTACTTTATCTTTCGCTTCTAATCTTCTATTCACTTTTAATAAACTCAAAAATATTTGGAGTGAGGATTTACTACTAAATAAAAGTATGATATTTGATTTTATTTAGTTGGAGAATTTATATCTTTGATTTGCAGAAATGAATCTTTGGTAAATGAAGAGATAGTGCATATACTATTGATACATAAACTCATGTATGTCATATGTTACAAGTTATTAGGAAAACAATTCAAATATAAAATATTCAAAAAAATTATTATATTATCGTCCAAATCAATTAAAGGGCTAGTTATTACTGTATATGAAGATTTAAATCTTTTGCTAAAATCATCTTCAAGTGAAAAAAAAATCTAATATTATCTCTTTTAATTTTAATTTTTATTATTTAAAAGAATATAAATAATTCTTTTGGTTTGTTAAAAGATCAGTGAACTCTATTAATAAATTTCTATGACTAATCTACTATTATTTGTAATACTTAATATTATTATTAATGAATTATATTTCTAAAAAAAAAATAAAACTATAAGTATCACATCCGAAATTAATAACTTAACATTTCTTGTTAGACTAAACCTACAAAAATACCATAAACTTTTCTACCTGTTGCAAAATCACTTTAAAACTATGTAACACCCAATTTGAAAACTTAGATATACCTATAATGATAGGGTTAGGTAAAGAAAAAAAATATTTTAGTGGATCCACCATCAACTTTGTGTTAACTTAAGCCATGGACAATAACTTGGGAAAGCGTCAATGATGGAGGAGATTAAAGTTTTGGCAAAAAATGAAACTTAGGAGCTTGTTACCCTTCATTAAGGAAGAAAACCAATGGAATGCAAATGGATGGTCATGGTAAAACACAGTGCAGATGGCACAATAGAAAGGTATGAAGCCAAATTGGTGACAAAGAGATTTACTCATACCTATGGAGTGGACTATCAAGAGACTTTTGCTCCAATTGTGAAAATGAACACCATTAGAGTCATGTTGTTTGCAGCCAACCTAAACTGGACTTTGCATCAATTTCATATAAAATGTTTTTTTGCATGGTGATCTAGAAGAAAAGTGTATATGGATATTCCTCTAGGCTTTAATAATGAAAAAAAACCAAAGGTAAGATTTGCAGATTGAAGAAAGCATCTTATGAACTCAAATAGTCACCTAGAATGATAAATTCAATAAGACCATGTGTCACGACCCGTTTCCGTGAGTCGGACCGGCACTAGGGCCCAGGTAAGCTTAAGGCCCCCGAGGCCCGTAGTAAGCCTAAATTATCCAATCTATCTATGTATCCTTCCCAATTATCATCAAACAGTAGGCCCATATACAAACATCTGGCCCAAACTCAAATAACACATAATATATAACCAGGGCCTATTTACAATAAATTATAATCACATGGTGGACTTACTGGTTCACCTGCAGCTAATTGCGTAATATTTAATTTATAGCGTAGTACTAACAATAAGTCCAATATTAATACACAACCCTATAACTGCGATAAATTAATAATTCACATGGGGATCTTACTGGACTTCACCTGCAGGCTATTTGCGTAAAATATTTAATTTATGCGTCCAGAGTACTAACAATAAAGTCCAATATTAATACACAAACCACAAATATAAACTGCGGATTCAATAACAAGACCCGAATACATAGAATAATTTATTAATCCAAATTAAATAAACATGTTAATATAAAGTTACATTTATACTCTGCGGAGAAGGATTGCAGAGCCTTCCGTTGGATCAGAATAATTTTCCTACTATCTGAAGAAGTTTGGAGCAGAAGGGGGGTTGATTTTGCAATCAAGTGAGATAACTAAAAATTAATACACACCACATTACAGCACGCGAAATGCGCTCTAATTGTACTGAATGTTAACCCACAACAGTTCAATCGTCTATGTCATAACATCAGCACCCACAAACAATGTCACCTTTAAATATCAATCACGTGGAAATTAGTCAGTGAAGTACCGAACCCAGATGAGGCCGTCCTCCCACATAGCCTCATTCCTCTCACTGTGCACCATGGGGAGCCGATCCCCCATTATGGGGAACGACCGCGTCTAATTCCTCATTGAACCCCAGTTTCCTTCTCATTGTTTTCTAATCCCTCTCTTTTCTTTTTCATTACCAACAAGGAGGCAACCCGGTGGTCTCCATCCAAGTCTAGATTCATTCAAGCGCTCACAACAGAGAGGCACCTGCCGGCGATATCGCGATTCAAAATCTTTAGAACTGGCCTGCGTTGCGCAACGACGAGAAGCCAACCCGAGCAGTTAACTGATAAAGGTTAACGAACGGTAGGTGCAACACAGTACTGGGAGCGCCGATCTCCCATTTACCCGAGCTAACGGAATAATCAATCATATTGGATCCATATAACGGTACGGTCTCACAGTCCCATGGTGACCTACTTCATCCCAATTCCACACAAACAAATCACAATATATGCACAGCACAATCATTCAAACAATTCTATCAACGTATTGCACCAAATTCATCCAAATACGTAATTATACAATATAAAATGCATATGAGTTTAATATAAAAATATATAAGATTTGTAACAAAAATGCTATGCAAATGCATGTTGGTCTGCATTATTTATTATTACTCACAGTGATGGAGAGCGAAGTTCTAGCTCTGATGTTGTCCTGGAGGAGCACTAGATGGGCTTTGATCTGGTCCTGGAGAGCACTAGATGGACACCCGGGGCGATCTAAGCAAAAATAGAACACACAAAAGAAAATAATTCTATCAGACAAGGTGTCTTTACCAACTCTAAGAAATATTAAATATTCTATAAATTTTTTTTTTTTATTTTTCAAGCGGTAACTCTATTTGTTTAATTATTCTCCGAAATTTTCAGACGAGCATCTCCCCTAAAAATTGGCTAAAGATCCACTGCTTAAAATATCAACCATTTATCAAATATTCAACTTCAATCTACACGGCCATCGTCGAGGACAATTAGTTTTAATGAAAATTTCCCATTCCTTCCTTAAATCTCAACATCACCACCAACCAAAAATACAATATAGCAATGAATATGGTTACCCATAAACTCCGTTAATTCCACACCTTTAATTCCAATTATATATCTTATCAAAGGTTCCTTAATTTTTAATCAACACCTATATTATTAACTACTCACCAATTACTTAAATAAATTTAAACTAATTAAATAACTCACAATAATAACTATTATTTCTTACTACAATTAAAAACTTATTATTATTCAAGTAACCATTTAAAAAATTATTAAACATTAACT